GCCCGGCCCCCATCAGCGATGCTGCCCCTGGGTGCCCCGGCACCCGTCCCCGGGGCTGACCAAGTGTGGGCCCAGTGGCCGGGCCGCAGCGTCTGCTGGGCTGTGCCGAGCCGTGCCAGGCCACGCCGAGCTGTGCCAAGCAGTGCCAAACCAGCGCCGTGCCAGGCCATGCCGAGCCGTGCCAAGCAGTGCAAAACCACAGCCGTGCCAGGTCATGCTGAGCCGTGCCAAGCAGTGCCAAACCAGCGCCGTGCCAGGCCATGCCGAGCCGTGCCAAGCAGTGCAAAACCACAGCCGTGCCAGGTCATGCTGAGCCGTGCCAAGCAGTGCCAAACCAGCGCCACGCCAGGCCATGCCAAGCCATGCCGGGCCATGCCAAGCAGTGCCAAACCAGAGCCGTGCCAGGTCATGCTGAGCCGTGCCAAGCAGTGCCAAACCAGCGCTGTGCCAGGCCATGCTGAGCCATGCCAAGCAGTGCCAAACCAGTACCGTGCCAGGCCACGCCGAGCCGTGCCAAGCAGTGCCAAACCAGCGCTGTGCCAGGCCATGCTGAGCCATGCCAAGCAGTGCCAAACCAGTACCGTGCCAGGCCACGCCGAGCCGTGCCAAGCAGTGCCAAACCAGAGCCGTGCCAGGCCATGCCAAGCCGTGCCGGGCCATGCCGAGCAGTGCCGAGCCACACCAAGCTGTGCCGTACCATACCCTGCCGAGCCATGCCGGGCGGGAGGGCGACGGCGGGTGGCGTCAGGGAGCAGACTGAAGGGTGCCCGCGGCTTATCAGCTCCCACCCGCCGTGTTTGCCCAGCGGTGCCCAGGCAGGACGGCTGCTGCTCCCGCCCTGGTGTTGCCGGTGTGAGTGTTTGGAGAGGGGAAAGGGAGCGGCACGGAGCCGGTGCCGGGTGCCCCAGGGCTGCCAGCCAGGCGAGGAGGGTGGGGGACAGCCGTGCCCAGGCTGGCACTCCCTCGCCAGTGCTGCACCGTGCCAGAGGCTGGGGACCCCACCTCAGGGGACAGCTCAGCCCAGGGTGCTCAGGGCAGGGCGGCAGGGAGGGCTCCGAGGGAGCAGACCAGGAGCTGCGGTCACCCCGAGAGCAGGGGGGCAGGGCAGCTCTGGAGCAGGGCTCTGGCCGTCCCCAACCCCGATGGCTGGCGTCCCACCCCCTGAACGTCCCCAGCACAGGCGGTGACAGGGTCAGGGCGCTGTGTCAGGCCCCTGCCATCCTGTGCCCTCCAGCTGTCACAGGCAGGCTGCCCTGCGTCCCCTGGCCGTCCTGTGTCCCCGGTCACCCTGCGTCGCCCAGCCACCTCCAGTTCCCCGGCTGTCTGGGTCCCCTGGCCATGCTCTGTGCCGCCCCAGATGGCCCCACTGGCACGTCCCGCTGCCAAAACAGAAATTACACCTCTGGCCACAGCCACCTCGGGACCCGAGCTGCTCACCATCGTCATTGTCCTCAGTCCCTCACGCGCTGCGTGGGCCAGCACGGCCGCAGGCCAGAGCGGAGACACGGGGCACCCCAGCGCCCCATCCACAGTGACAACACTGCCATCCCTGGTGCTGTCCCCGGCGCGGAGCTGGCCCAGCTGCTCTCCACACAATATGTCCCCATCTCTGCATCCACAGGCGCTGCCTGGCAAGAGCCACCAGCCCCGGGCACCCAGCCCCACCACCCCCCGGGGAGCACAGCACCCTGAAGTGCCTCTCCTGCTGGCCGTGC